CACTTCTTTTTCAATCTAAAAAGTGTCTTCTACTTCTTTAGGTCCCCCTGGTTTCTGGGGAGAGGTTGAACGTGGTCTCTAGGTCATGAGCCACTTTTCTCGGGCTCTTTTTAAGATATTTTTTTCATTGTCTATTTTTCAGCAGTGTGACTGTGATGTGTCTGGGTAGGGATTTCTTTAGTTTATCTTGTTTGGGGTCTGTTGAGCTTCTTGAATCTGCAGATCAAAGTTTTGCCACATTTGCAAAGTTTTCAGTCATGTTTTCAGCTGTTTTTCCAGCCATGCCCACTTTGCTCCCTTTCTTGCACTCTGATGAGACTGTTAGACTTTTTCTCTTGTCCCAAAGGTCCTAAAAGCTCTTCATTCTTTTCAGTCTTTTTTCTCTCTTGTCATTCAGATTAGATCATTTCCATTGCTCTGTCTTCAAATTCACTGAATCTTTCCTCTGCTTTTAAGCTCATATGGGGAGTTTTTAAAATTTCAGTATTGTATTTTTTAGTTCTGAATTTCCATTTGGTTCTTTATATCTTTATTTATTTATTTGCTGTCTTTCAGTTTTTTTGTTCAGTTCAGGAGTGCTATGTTTGTTTAGAGCATTTTTATAGTAGGTGCTTTAAGTCTGGTAGATAGTTGTAGCATCTCTTATTTTGGTATTGGTATCTGTTGCTCATCTTTTCCAACAGGGGTTAAGACACTACTGGTTCTTTGCTGAGTAGTTTGGATTGCAGCTGGACATTTTGGATATTATAGTATGAGACTCTGGGTCTTGTTTAAATCCTAGGAAAATGTCGGTGTTTCCATTTCCATTTCCAAACGAGGCAAACAACCTTGTTTGATTTAGGTGCAGTTCTGACCTGCCCTCTATGGGTTATGGTTCCGTGTCAGTTCTTTGGAGCCTCAGCCGTGCCATTGGATTTGGCCTGTGTGTGCCTCCTGTGGCTGTCTGGGACCTGGCCGTGGTCTCAGGGCTTGGGGTGTCAGGATCAGATACACGCAGCTTGGGGGTGGGCCTGACATTCATGAGCAACTTTGGGGGCTTGCTCTTCCAAGCTTCTTCCTCTCCACACTGGCCTTGGGGCTTTCCAGGGGCCTGGGGTTCCCTTGTTGGTCCTCTAACCAGTATGCCCGGGCTTTGGAAGCCTGCCCTGCCGTACACTTCCACACCCATGCCTTGCCTGGGGCCCAGTTGCTATAGGTGGAGCAACTGGGTGCTTCTTCCTTCAGTGTTCTTGTCCAGCCCGCTTGCTGCTCTTTCCATCTCAGAATGAACGTAGCTTCCCATGTAGCTGCCCCACGCAACCTGTCTGAGGTCAGAGCTACCCCAGGATCCTGCCAGGGGCGGAGCTGCTTGGTGTGCCCGTCTGGAGTCAGAGCTCATCCCTGAGTCCTGTCCAGGGTCACAGCAGCACTCAGCGGAGGCAAGCTGGAGTGAGCGGACTCCTCTCTCCTGGAGCTGGCGTAGCCGTGGCAGGTGAAGTCCATCTCTGTTGCTGTGCTTCTTTCTGGCAGCTGCAGAGTCCAGGCTCTCAGGCCTCTGCCAATAGTCCTTCCCTATTTCCTCCCCTTGGCCGCCGGCCCTCACCTCAGTGGGCCCTGCAGGCTGCCCTGTATTCCTGGAGGCAGGGCTCTGGCCTCATCCATCTCTGTCCCTATTGTGTGGCCCTGCTTGGAGGACGCACCTGGGAAGCGCCACTGGCAGGGAAGCACCATCGGCCCCTGGAGGCAGACATGGTACTGGAGGAGCTGTTCCCACCTCCAGCTCAGTGAGGGGTTGCCAGTCCCTCACGGAGAGCCCTCCAGGATGGTGGCCCTGAGGTGGTAAGGTGGCAGGGGGTGATGGCACGTGTTTTGGCCCATGCGCCCTACTCCACGACCAGCAGAGGCTGTGTTGTGACTCCCCTGCTGGTGAGCCTAGAGAGAGATGCCAGACCCCAGGGATGGGCCGAGACCCCTCCACCATCCCCAGCTCCCTGAGGAGAGGGCACAGGGGAGCAGGGTGCTAAGCACCCCACCCTGGAAGGATTGGCAGGGTGCCCCTGCCCTTCCTCATGGCCTGGGGGGACTCTGTGTTTTGTCCTAGGGCAGGATGGCAGCCCAGGTGACGCTGGAGGATGCGCTGTCCAACGTGGACCTGTTGGAAGAGCTGCCTCTGCCCGACCAGCAACCCTGCATCGAGCCCCCGCCATCCTCACTGCTCTACCAGGTGGGTGCTGGGCAGCCGTGGGATGCGTGGCCTGTGTGCTGACCTCCGCTTGATGGTTTTCTTCTTTCTTGCAGCCAAATTTCAACACTAATTTTGAAGACAGAAATGCATTTGTCACTGGCATTGCAAGATACATTGAACAAGCGACCGTCCATTCTAGCATGGTAACTCTGCACAGTTTCCTCTGGGGGGATGGCATGTCTGAATAGCAAATGTCACTTTGGTATTATCCTGATAGGATACATAGTGAGGAAGAAGAGAAGAAAGTGAATGACGTGTTTTATGTTTTTTTAAAGCACCTTTTTTTTTTTTTTTTTTAAATTATAAGGACAATATATGCTCTTTCTGAAAACCTGGCTTCTGTGGCCCAGAGAAAACCTTTGTCAGCATTTTGAGGGAACCCATTCTCCCTCTTTTATACTTGTACTCAAGCATACCAGGTACACACCCATATGGGATTTAGATTGCATAAATGAATTGCATTGTTATTATAATTATGTATTTTAATGATTTCATGAACATTTTAACATGTCATTAAAACGCACCAGATGAAGTAATTTTTAATGGCTGTCTAGTCCATTTTTTAAGTGTTCAAAATTTAACTATTTTTGCAAATTTTAACTAATTTGCAAAATTTAACTATGTTTACTTAGTTTGCCTTCATTTCTTCTAGTAAAAAATGCTGTGATGAACATCTTCCTAAATACATCATTATTCTCACTGGCTAGATTTGTAGAAGTGAAGTTACTAGGTCAAAGGTTGTGAGCATTTTAAAGCATCTTAAAAACATTACCAAACTGTAGTCAACATTTTTCAAGGACATCTGTGCAATTTTTGCCATTTTTACCAAAGGAAATAACGTGAAAGAAGGAGTAGACACGAAAGCAGTTTTGAAATGATGGCAGTCCTCTTCCCATGGATACTCTCCCTGGATTTTAAGTGCTTTCCCTCCCCGCCCTGGGGACAGCAGAGTGTGTTAGTCTTCCTTCGGGGCCAGGAGGCTCTGTGTGGCTTGCTGGAGCGGCTGTGAGGACCCCGTGTGTGTTCAGCTGCACTGCACGCTTCCCATGTCCCCAGCTTCAGATCTGCACTGCCAGTAGGTGGCTTGGGGCTGAGTGGAGCTGAGGTGTGGCGGCTACGGCAGGTGCCCTGGGCTGTGCTGCCCCTGGGCAGAGGTGGCTGCATGTCGCTGATACCCCTCTTCAGCCTGCAGAAGCCATGGGGGTGTTTGGGGTCGTCTGCAGTGTCACCAGTACCTTAGCAGCTGTCTCTTGGCACACAGGTCCTGGTGCTTTTCTGTCCCTCAAAGGGAGGGTCCTCCTGGCCTCTCCACCATGGTCACCATGGTTTATGGCTCTAGCTGCTGGCGATTTGGCATCTCCTTTTTTATGATTGTTTTGCTTGCCTTTGATTTGCCCCGTGTACCCTTGCAGAACGAGATGCTGGAGGAAGGCCAAGAGTATGCCGTCATGCTGTACACCTGGAGGAGCTGCTCTCGGGCCATCCCGCAGGTGCCCCATCCCAGCCAGACCCCACCCCCCCACTGGCCACGCCCTCATCCTTTCCAGTCGTCCCCGCCCAGTCAGACCCCGCCCCACCTCTGGCCTGCTCCATCCCAGCGCACTCCCCACATCCTCTCAGGGTTGAAGCCTCTGTATGTCATGTTTGTTTTCTCCCAGGTGAAATGTAATGAACAGCCTAACAGAGTGGAAATTTATGAGAAAACCGTGGAGGTCCTTGAGCCTGAGGTCACAAAACTGATGAATTTTATGTACTTCCAGGTAAAGCAGTGACAAAATCCTAGGGGTTTAGAGCAGAGGAATGAGATGGTGGCACCATCTACTAACTAAACAAAGTGCCTGCAAATTCAAGCAATCACAATAGCTCTGAGACCAAAGGGAACTAAGCCTTAGACAGTCCAAAGCGTTACTGGCCCTTTCAGAATAAATGCTGCTTCTGGGTTTCACTTCTCTTCTCCCCTCGAGAGTGAATTTGTAGTTCCTGCAGGAAGACTGCTTTCTGTCAGTACGCTTACAGGCTTACACTTTCGATTCATCTGGTTTTGGGGTGTTTTCTCCCCACTGTCCACTCTGGTGGGCTTCGCCCTGGCCTTGGCTCCTTCTGGCCCTTGGGTTAAGCAGAGTGGCCACAGGGAGGGACTTGCTGGCTTTTTTAAAGACATAGTTTAGAAATGTGTGAAAGTTTTTATTATAGAATCCTTTAGCAAAGGGAGAAGATAGAACTTCTTAGGTGATGAATTTTTGTCTTAAAAATTGTCAAGTGGAAATCCTCCCACCCCCTTTTTCAACTCTAAAAGCTAAAGCAGTCTGCTTTACAGACATTCTATTGGAGCATTTTGCTCAGTAGCTTTGCTGGAATAATCAACAAAATTCTTTTACTTTGGGGACATAGTTGGCAAAGTGCAAAGTTGATGATGATTGTTACAGAGCAAAGGCTCGTGGAAATCACTTTCTAGAAACATGTCTCTTTACCCAAGCTGTAAACATGCACCCCTGGTTGGGTGTTTCATCAACGAGTAACGTGACTCTGGACCCTGTGCTTGGAGCTGGGCTTGGGGTTGGCCCGTCCCTGAAAGCCACGTTTCTGCGCCTGCTTCCTCTGCACAGAGAAACGCCATCGAGCGTTTTTGTGGGGAGGTGAGGCGCCTGTGTCACGCGGAGAGAAGGAAGGACTTCGTGTCTGAAGCCTACCTGATCACCCTGGGCAAGTTCATCAACATGTTTGCCGTGCTGGACGAGCTGAAGAACATGAAGTGCAGCGTGAAGAATGACCACTCAGCCTACAAGAGGTGATGAGCGCGCCTGGGACTCAGGGCCGGGTTCCCGAGCGCACTCGCGTGTGGGGTGCAGTGCCCACAAGGGCCAGCCTCGTCCCGCGGAAGTGTTCTCCTGGGCGGACCGCCAGCGCTGCGAGGCGTTCTTGTAGGCTTTGGGGGCAGGGCGGGGGCGGGGGCGGGCCCTGGGCTCTCAGCCCAGACAGCAGTGCTGTGCTCTGAACCTGTATGGGGGCGGTGGTGCGTGGGCGCTGACGCGCTGAGCGTCTTGTCCAAGGGGCTGGAGGCTCCACGCCTGCTGGGGCCGCCGCTGCTCGTCGCTGGCTGGGTGGTGGGCATCCCCGGCAGGTGGGCACCGTCACCACAGTGGGCACAGCTGGCCCCGGCACCCACAGGGCTCCCCAGACCAGTTGTCCTCCAGAGCGGTTTTCTTTTCGAATGTGGACAGCTTCTGGAGAAGAGAATTGGAAAAGGTGGGCACGGCTCGGCGCTGCAGCTGCGACACTGAGTGTGTTGGTGGCAGGTAGAGCCGAGCTGCTGTCCTCTAACTGACTCTCTAGAAAGTCTGCCTGGGACTGTTAAAACATGTTGGCTGGAATGAGATGCTGACTTCTGTTTCCTTTGCTAGACAAGGAATCTTAGCTATAAAATTAAATTAGAAGAGATTTTATTTTGTGTCTGAATAGGCTGTGGTTTCATTTGTAAGGGAAGAAAAAGAATTTTTCCTCTGCCCTTCTAGGTTCTTGCCTGAGTACCGCCTTTAAGAAAACAGTGATTAATAGGAGAAAAACAAATATAATTTCATTTCATGAGTATGGGGGTCCCAAGATATGAGACCCAAAGAAGTGACCAAAGGAGGCAGTGTTTATACCTTTTGTTTTTGTTTTTTTTTTGGCCACACCTGGCAGCGTGTGGGATCTTAGTTCCCCGACCAGGGATGGAACCCGAGCCCCCTGTAGTGGGAGTGCCACCGGACTGCCAGGGAATTCCCAGCGTTTATACCTTTGAAACAAAGAAAAAATATTTGTGAAGAATTGACAAGACAAAGAAGTTTGAGTTGGGGTGGCCAGTGAGTGAGGAGGTTGGAAGGTTAGCTCACACGGCCTTCTCAGCCTTGAACGCCCCGTCTCTTGTGATGACGATGCCTCCCGACCTCCTGGTGCAGGGAGGGGACCTTTCATGTGGGAGGTTTGTTTCCTGCTTTCAGGGGCACAGAGGAGGTCAGAATGCCCTGCTGTGGCTGTTTCTTAAGTAACTTCAATTCTGAATAATTCAGTATGCCACAGTGGCATGTTTGGGGGCGGCCTACCCTGAACCCCAACACGTACTTAAAATCGTGCACCTATTGCTGTGTCTTTAAAATGAAGTCGACTTGAGATGAGGCATGAAACAGATTTGAGGAGGGGATGGCACTGGAAGTTGAGCTAGATCTCCCAGACTTTAAGCCTCATTCGTGTGAAATAAGTCCAGGCGTTCCATTCATCACCTAGAGTTAGCTCTGCACGGAAGCCTAGATCTTCAGAACGACAAAATCTTTTGAATTGTCCTGTTAACTCCGCTCCGGTAGGAAAGTCTGGAGTTGTCTTCATTTGATGCCAGTTTTGTGGGATTCCAAGTGCGTGTGACTCTTGGTGGAGTGTCGGGGCTTCTGAACTTCCCAGCTCAGGAGAACAACTTCTGCTCCTAATGGCACAAATCACTTGTCGGGTGATTTGGAGCAGCTTTCTCAGCCTTCCTGACTCTATCAGGGAAATGGGGAGGTGGACAGCCCCAGTGGTTTTAAATTTTAAAAAGGTTTCTTTTCTCCCTCTCTCTCTTAGCAGCAGCACCTTTATTTCAAAGCCCAGTCTGGAAAATAGTTGAAAGATACGGCTGCTCTGTGGAAGGCCCCCGGGCACCCCATTCAGAAGTTGCCCAGCGTGTTTGCCACCCCTTAGGCTCCCCTAAGCACAGAAGAGGGCCTGGGCACCCCTCACCCTTCCAGCAGCCTCTTCCTGTGACCTATGTTTGGTATCCCCTGTTGGTTGGTTTACTTTCCCAGACAATAACCTCCACTTCTCCCTAGCCCTCACACTCCTACACTCAACACTCAGAACACATTTTATGTGCACCCAGCTGGTAGTTACAACCTTTCCTGAGTGTAAATGCCAGATAACCCATATAGTCATGGTGAGGCTTAAGGAAAATAAAAGCAGGTATTCTTGGTCCCTTCCTTAGTTTCCACTCCTGCAGCTTCAACACCCACTCAAATCAATACAGTAAAGTGAACACTTTAAAAAAGAATGTAAACATATCAGTTAATATTGTTTCACTGTATATAATTTTTTAAAACTTAAGAAGTAAGCAAGATTGCAGATTATTTCTCACCTGAAAAGTTCTGACGTAGGTGGTCTGCAGCTGACGGGGTTCCATAGTGTTGAGGAACCAGAGCTCCTGCTGTCTTCATTTGTTGCCTTGTGGCCCAGGATGGCTGCTTGAGCTCTAGCTGTCATCTCTGTATTCCAGTCAGCAGGAAGGAAGGATCATTGAAGGGCCTACAATATTCCTTATAAGTAAACTTTCAAGTGCCTTACAAAGTTTTGCATTACATCTCATGGCTCAGCAGTTGGTCACAGCGTGGAGATGAGAATGAGGCACATTACTGCACCACAGAAATTCAGGGTTTATTCTGAATAAAGGGAATGGAAGGGAAGGGAAGGAAAGGGAAGGAAATGACAGTTGGGGTAGGTTACCAGTCTTTGCCATGAAAGCTTTTCTTTAGTAAAACCCCAGAGGTTCTAGGTTGCACAACAGGTCCTTATGTGGGCAGCTTCCGCTAAACTTTTTTGGGGAAGCCCTAGGTGTGCAGAATCCTCATATGTGCTTTCACCCTCTTTGCAAAAACTAGAGACTCAGCCTGTGTTGCACAGGATTTGTTGGACCTCAGCGTACAGGTCCTTCTGTGTCCACCGTTCCCTTGTCAGCCCCATTGGGTAGGTCGTATAGCTATTGTTTTTCACAGATATGGTAAGTGAGAGTCAGGAGGTGTGATATTGATTTATAATAAGAAATATGTATTCATCCCCATTTCTGACACTGAACTCCTAAAACCCTTAGAATTTCCCATGATAAAATCAAGAGAGTTTCTTTTGTTATGTAAATGTGGTGACTTTGGAAAGCCTCTAGTTACCCTAAGGATGGGGGCTGGTCATCAGCAGAATTAACCCTGTAACTACAGGGTTGGAACTTTCAGACCTACCCTCCTGATCTCAGGGAGGAGAGAGGGGTTAGAGGTTGAATCCATTGCCAATGTCCAGTGATCTAACCAAGCATGTTTATGTGAGGAATCCTCCATAAAAACCCCAAAGGACAGGGTTCGGAGAGCTTCCAGGTTGGTGAACATGTGGAGGTTTCGGGGGGAGTGGTGCTTGGAGAGGGCATGGAAGCCCCCCCCTCCCGTCCCCATATGTATCTCTTCCATTTGGCTGTTCTGAGTTATATCCTTTCATAATGAATTGTTAATCTAGTATATAAAATGTCTTCTCAGTTCTGTGAGCTGCTCTAACAAATTAATCGAACCCAAAGAAGGGGTTGTTGGGACTGCCAATCTGTACCTGGTTGGCCAGGAGCACAGTGACAACGTGGACCTCCAGCGGGTGTCTGAAGTGGGGGGATGACGTGGCAGTCTTGTGGGACTGAGCTCTTAACCTGTGGGGTCTGATGCTATCTTCAGGCAGTGTCAGAATTGTGACACCACTGGCAACTGGTGCTAGAGAATTGCTTGGTGGTGTGGGAAAACCCAGCCCTCATGTTAGACTTGGTACCGGATCTTTAGGTTTGTCCAAGATGGAGCTGCAAATTGGTGGTGGAATCAGGATTCTGTCTCAGACCTTTGGCACCAGAACTATGCATGGTGTGGTCCCTGACTGTTGGGAGGTTTGGCTGCCCAAAAGTTTCCCAGCAGAGAACCTAAACAGTGTTGGCCATCTTTGTCACTCAGCAGAGGGAGTGTCATCCTTTCTCACACCTGGGGACAGGGAGCCCAGGGGAGAGGCCCGTGTATAGGTGTCCTTCAGGAAGGCCTGTGAGAAGTGCTGCCACATCTCTGAGGAAGTCCATCAGCTATGGACAGTAGGGTCATGAGCTATCCAGGTTGCAAAGAGACTTACCTGGAGTTCAGGGGAGAAGCTGGAGAAGGCTGAAATTGTAACCGGCATCTAAGATGCACATTTCTACAGATAACTGTAGCGAGGGTAAAATAATTTTGATATTCCCACGCTGTTTTTCTTTAAAGTCATTAAGCATGTTGGTTGATTAACCCTTTTTTTCCCCCTTTTCATAGGGCTGCTCAGTTTTTACGTAAAATGGCAGATCCACAGTCCATCCAGGAATCACAGAATCTGTCCATGTTCCTGGCCAACCACAACAAGATCACACAAGTAATTCACACTCTTGCCGCTCTGGCTGATGGGGTGCATCACTGGGGGGCTGAGGGCCGGAGAGCAGTCAGTGACACAGATGTCTCACTCTGTGTTTCAGTCTCTGCAGCAGCAGCTCGAAGTGATTTCTGGCTATGAAGAGCTCTTAGCAGACATTGTGAATCTGTGTGTGGACTGCTATGAGAACAGGATGTACTTGACGCCCAGTGAGAAACACATGCTTCTCAAAGTACGTGTGTTGAGGGTAGGCTGCCAACAGCACCATGAGATGGGGGCAGCCCTGCTTTCGTGAATAGGCTGCACTTTATGGTCGTTTGGCCAACCTTTTCTCTCATGCGTGTGTGTGTGTGTGTGTGTGTGTGCGCGCGCGCACGCATATATAGCACCCTCCACCCTACATGCAGTTTGCCCTACAAGTCCTTGATGCATTCCCGTGAGTGTGTTCCAAGCTTGACCCCAGTGCCAGGTAGATCACATGCCCATCCCTGGAGAAGGTGCTCGTGGGTGAGAAGTTCCTGGTCAAGGGCCTTTCTCAGTATAAAGCTTGTAGCAGAGGTTATACCAGATTCTACGTGGTAAGGATGTAATTCCTAGAAATTTAGTATACTGTGTCACCATGATTATAGTAGACTTTTGTTGGTCAAGAAACATGCCATTTACCGTATTTCTCATTATTCTGTTTCAAATTGGGGAGGTTTTCAATGACGTTTCTCACTGGGAAGATGAGAAGGCGGTTTTTTTTTTTTTTTTTCAAACAAAAGTTTAATAACTTGTACATGGGAGAGACCCAGGAAAACTGAGTAACTCTGAGAAGATGCTTCTGCCATTCTCTTCACTCTGCTCTCTACCTTCATGGAGGGCAGCTCTGGGGGACCCTGTTCTGGGTGTCCTGCTGACCCAAAGCCCTCCGTGCAAGTGGACCCGTCTCCAATACTTCTTCCCTGCTGGAGAGCAGCATGGAGGGATCAGAGCGAGAGGACACTGTCCAGTGGAGTGCTTTGTGGCAGTGGAAACATTCTGTTTGCACCTACCTGGTGCAAGAGCCTCCTGGTCATAAGTGCTTAGGGAAATCCACATTTAGTATTGCCTTGTGCTTGATGAGAAGTGGAGCTGATGTATACACCTGGAAGGGGACACAAGAAATGACATAAAATAGCTTCATGTGAAGGGATAGCTATTAATATCTGAGGGACTTTTAAAAATGCTTTTTACCAAAACTAGAAATATTAAAATTACAAAAAGAAAAATCTCATTGATAAAGACAAATATACAGTAAAGGTAGTAGATCAACTACTTACAAAGCTAGTAGCAAGGTTAAAAGACAAAAGTAGTAAAATCATCTATATTCACAATAAGTAGTTAAGGGATACACAAAACAAAAAGATGTAAAATATGATGTCAGAAACATTACGCGTTGGTGGGGAGTAAAAATGCAGGGTTATTAGAATGAGTCTGAACTTGAGATCATAACTTAAAGTAATCATATATATATATATATATATATATATATATGGCTATATATTAACCTCATAATGACCACAATCAAAAATTTATTTAAAAAAATTTATAATAAATACACAAAAAAGAGAAAGGAATCTAAACATAAAACTAAAGATAGTCATCAAATCACGAGGGAAGAGAGCAAAAGAAGAAAGGGACAAAAAGGAACTCTAAAGAAAAAACCCAGGAAACAATAAAATGGCAGATGGAAATATCTGTTGTGTTTTGGGGTTTGGAAAAATTGACATTGTTAAAATGACCATACTACCCAAGGCAATCTACAGTTTCGGTGCAACCCCTAACAAAATACCAATGACATTTTTCACAGAACTAGAACAAATAATTCTATCATTTGTATGGAAACCAAAAAGACCCCAAATTGTCAAATCTTGAGAAAGAAGAACAAAACTGGAGGTGTCACATTCCCTGATTTCAAACTATACCACAAAGCTACAGTAATCAAAACAGGAAGGTATGGCACAAAAACAGACACATAGATCAGTGGAACAGAGAGCTCAGAAATAAACCCACACTTAAATGGGCACTTAATCCATGACAAAGGAGGCAAGAACACGTGACAGGGAAAAGACAGCCTCTTCAATAAGTGGTGTTGGTAAAACTGGACGGTTACTTGCAAAAGGATCAGCCTGGACTACTCTCTCACACCATATACAAAAATAAACTCAAAATGGGTTAAAGATATAAATGTTAAGACCTGAAACCATAAAACTCCTAGAAGAAAACATATATTTTGGATCTGTATCCTCAGGAAAGGGAAACAAAGGTGCAAACAAATGGGACTACATCAAACTAAAAAGCTTTTGCACAGTGAAGGAAACTGTCAAATGAAAAGGTCACCTACTGAATGGAGAAGACATTTGCAAACAGTATATTCAGTAAAGCGTTAATATCCAAGATATACGAAGAACTTGTACAACTCGATATCAAAAAAAAAATTCAGTTTAAAAATGGGCAGAGGATCTAAATTGGCATTTTTTCCAAAGAAGACATTTTTTCCAAAGAAGACAAAGTGCTGGCGAGGATGTGGAGAAAAGGGATCCCTGGTGAACCCTGGTGGGAATGTAAATTGCTGCAGCCACTAGAAAACAGTATGCTGGTTCTTCTACAATTACCATAGGATCCAGCAATTCCACTTGTGGATGTTTATGTGAAGAAAAGAAAAAGATATATGCACACCAGTGTTCATTGCAGCAGCATTGTTAACAATAGTCAAGACACAAAAGCAACCAAAGTGTAACATTGATAGATGCATAGGAAGATTTTATATAAATAAATTATATATATATATATATATATATATATAATGGAGTACTATTCAGCCCTAAAAAAAGAATGAAATCTTGCCATTTGTGATAACATGAATGGACCTAGAGGGTATTATGCTAAGTGAAAGAAGTCAGACAGAGAAAGACAAATACCATATGATTTCACTTATATGTGGAATCTAAAAAACAAAACAAATGAACAAACATAAAATAGAAACAGACTCATAGATACAGAGAACAAACAGGAGTTTCCTAGTGGGGTTATTGGGGGGTGGTGGTGAATGAAATAGGTGAGACTAAGAGGTATAGACTTCCAGCTACAAAATAAGTCACTAGGATGAAATGTACTCCGTTGGAAATATAGTCATTAATATTGTAATATCTTTGTGTGGTGACAGATGGTAACTAGACTTATCATGGTGATCATTTTTAATGT